CTGGGATTACAGGCATGCGGCACCACGCCCAGTCTCAATCTCAGTCTCAGCACCTCCCAGGGCATGGCAGGCCAGGAATTGAACCCTGGCCACTGCATCTGCCTAAACAGGTGCTTTAATCCGCTGAGCTATTTGGCCGACCCTAAAACGTTGAGACTTTTGTGTGTGTGTGTGTGTGTGTGTGTGTGTGTGTGTGTGTGTGACTGACTCAGTCTGCCTTATGGGCAGGTGTGGGATGGGGAGCATGGGGAGCTGGGGATCAAACTGGGGTCCCCTGAGCCTGACTAGGTTTGCTGCAGCATGCACTTAAACAACTGAGCTAACCCAGAAACCCCCACAACACCCCAAACCTTGAGCATATGTAGAAGTTCCTCAAATCCTTCAAGCTCGCTTCTTGCTGACAGCCGTCACCAGCCCTGAATTCTTGTTCTGATTTCCGTCATGCTTGCTAGCTTGTTCACGCTCACCGACTTAAGGCATCTGCCTTTTCACTCCAGTCTAATATTTCTTACATGCTCAGTTCTTACTGTCATGAGAGCCTGTGGTGCTCAGGTGATGACTGACACCTAGGCACCTGCGGCAGCCTCCCTGGGCTGTGTCCCCACCATGAAGTACCCGTGCACTGGGGTCCCCTGGCATTGAAGGGTCCACCATCAATGTGGGCGGTTCCTAACACAGAGATGCCGTGCAGCTGTGGCTGCCTTTGTTTTCTGTAAAGGCTTTTGCACAGTTGTTTTTAGTACTGTCACCTCCTTTTCATCTTGTTCACAGAAACTGTTGGCACTTGACCCATCTGATAGAAAGGACCTGTGATTTCTGAGCTCGGGACATTTTCACTTGCTTTTTCTCGGACAGACACAGCCCCATGTTCCCAATTCCAGCAGGTGCACTCGGCACGTGCCTGTGTTCCGTAACACCCGGCAGCCAGTGTCAGGGGGAAGGGCGCCTCGGAAATCCAGCTAGAGGTTTCGCGGCGGCACGCACTCCTCCCTAATCCGCACTTTGGTTCTTCTCTTTGGTTTTGAATGAAAAACATCTTGGGAGAACAATCAAAATTCAGAGGAGATAGAGATCAGAAAAAAAGAAGTTTTACTGGCAAGCTTCATTTTTTTAAGACAGCTGTGTAACCTTCAATTCACACGCACACCCGCGTATCTTCCGGAACCTGCTTTCTCACCACCCTGACAGTTAGAATTTTATCTCTTCACCGTTAGGATTTCTCTTGAGAGCGCAGAGCTGCAGCATCTTGACAAACCAAATGCGAAGCTCAGTGCGCCTCCGCCCCAGTCTCTTGACGGGGAGGTGCTTTAACCAGGTTCTTGTTTTCAGAGGCTGTTTTCCTGTCAGCAGTTCTGGTCTATCAAAGTTCATTTAATTCTTTTAAAGGCCATGTTTCGGGGGAAATGGAATTCTCCCGCCGTAGCGCTCGCCGCTCTGAGCTGGGCAGACCTGCGCTCTACCGCGAGCCCCTGGAGACCCATGGGCAGCAAGACGTGGTGGGAAGTGGGGCTGCCACGGATGGGGAGCACCTGGGCACCGCACCTGGGCTGAGGCTGGCCCCTCGCCTCTTTTCTTTATGCTCTCTGCAGGTCTGCTTTGCTGAGGTGGAAGAACTTCTCTAGGGCTAGAAAGTCTTTCTGTGGTGTTAGCATTTGAAGCATTTTGCATGTGGACATTTATGGAGAAAACGGCAGGAAATTAATTGCAAACCAAATATTCCTATCAGCCGAACACCATCTTTGGCAGTTTGAGAATAAGTCTTCAGTTGCTACTATAGAGAATGTATCATTCTAGGAGTTCTGCAAGGGCTAGGAGTGTAGCTCAGCGGGCAGGGCGCTTCCTGGCATAGACAACAGCCTGGATTCCACCCATAGCACCGAAAATAACACAGAATCCATGATCTAAAGTAGGGAAATAGTAAATGCAATCCAGTACGCTCAGGAGCTCATAAACTAGTCAAGATGCTTGATTCCAGTTTATATTATGTAAACCGGAAGTGGTTTTTACATTTTTAAATGGTTGAAAAATTACTATTAATGTGTCCCTTGAAAATTATATGAAAAAAAAGAAAATTATATGAAATCCTGACTTCAGGGTTCATAATAAAATTTTGCTGGAGTTATGGCCAATTCATTGTGCTGATCTATGACTGCTTTTGAGTCACAGGGACGTGGAGTTGGGCCGGCATACAGTTGAGCTCTGCCCATGGAGGCTGTGTGATGACTGAAGCCTAAAATATTTTGACGGCCCTTTGCAAGGTTTCCTAGACAGATAATTGCATCAAATCCCAGTGGTTGCCACTTAAGATATTTAATTACCAGATAAATGTTTATGACATAATACTTAGTGAAGTGGTTTTGATGATCTGTAAAGAAATACAGGATGATCCCAAATGATTTTTTTTTTTGTTTAATTTTTAGTTTTTCTGGTAGAAATGTAAGCTCTGTGAAAGCAGATGTACTTGACATCTGCTTATTCATGTATTTAGCTTCATGTTTTAGAATAGTGCTTGACATGGAGTAGTTGCTTAGTAAACAATAAAAGCAACTGAAGATGGATTAATTATGAGATGGTGTCATAATATACAGAGTTACATAATTCATTAGAAAGCATTTCTAGGACATGCATTTATATTAGAAACCAAGTTGAAAGTCATGTTTTTAGTTTTCCTGTCTTTACCTGATGCATCAAACATGACTTATTTGACGTATTCATGGAGTTCCATGTGATGTTTTAGTACACATATGTTGTGTAATGTTTAAATCACATTAAACTATCACATCTGCCATTACACAATGGATGACTGTAGCTAATAGTTATGTACTATATTTTTCTAAAAAGCTAGAAGAAAGGGGTCTAAATATTTTTATTATGAAGTATTGATAAAAATTTGAAGAGAAAGCTTTCAGTGCGTAGTCTCATTTAATCTTAATACAGTTGGTGAAGATACATTATGGACTTCATTTTCCACAAGAGGAAAGCAAGATTCCTAAAGATTGGAGAGCTGGCCTGGCATTGTGAGGCTGAGGAACAATGTGACTGCTTTTCAAAAGATCTTGGGTTCCAGAGTCTGAGCTTTAACTAAGCTACATTCATTTCTTAAAGTCTTAAAATCCATTTATATATTCCAATAAAAATAAAAGTTAGATGAAAATAATGGAGATAAATATAGAAATAAAAAGAGCAACTATGAGTTAAAGATGAGGTTACTTTTCTTAGCTATACATTTTGTTCTGTATTTCCTGAAAGAAGGGGATTTACTTTTCCAATAAAAAGCAAGTGCTTCTAAGGGAAGGGGGAGATGGGCCAGAAGTTTTTGATTGTTTATGTAGATCAGTTCTTTGTTCTCAGAGGGTTGTGTGGGAATTGCTGTGGAAACTGCTGTCTTGTCTGTCTGGATATTGATTTGTGTAGCTGAAGTTGAGAGTTAGCTTTCAGCTCCCTTTTGAAAGCTTTCTCTCCCTGGGAATGCAAAGAACCCTCTGTGTGGAGCTGGTGCAAAGACTCTGGCCCTCAGAGCTTCCCGGGGGCCTTCTCCCATGGTGAGAACTCCACATGCCTTCGAAAGCAGTGGCTGCTTCTGTTCCTATTTGGTTGCACTTGCCTGAACCCGTCTTCTACCACATGATGCTCTGATTTCGCCTGAAATTTATTCTCACTTCATTCAACTGGCACATAATTTGGGAGACAACTATTCATGATCATCTTATATGCAAGGAAATGATTAGGTCCAAGATGCCCCAAGTCATTTGGTGAAATGAAAGGAAATAGAAAGAAAAGAGGTAACACTGCCCATGAGATTCTCCAGCAATGGCTCACGCTTCTTCTTCCATCTTTTTGTCGGTGCCTGTCAGTGACGGCGGCACATTGTACGTGACACAAAGGACTCTCTACATGCCCTGGCCGAACTTCCAAGGTGAAAGAGAGAGACCAGTTTTTCTTTTGATGCAGCTGAAACATAGTGATTAAAATAATTAAGTTAATGCTGTTAAAATTATTGAAGTAAAGGGTAATGCAGCCTTGAAAGCTGTTTTTGAAGATGACTGTTTTCTGTAGATCAGAACTCTACAAAGGCGGTGAAATAAGAGCTCAGAGAAAACTGGAGAAAGTTAAAGAGTGAGAATATTTGAGGCTATTTAAAAAGGATTTTAAAAATTCTCGAGACGTGTCTGGACATTCCTGCCATAACTTCAGAGGCCGATGCTGTTCAGGCCTGTGAAGACCGCGTTAAGTGCACCTTTGCTCTGTTCCTACAGCCTCATACTGACTTCGACCTACAAGTGAGGCTCCCCACCTTTGCCTTCTTGTAACCTTATTTGGCAGAAGTAAATGTTGTTATTAGTGAGTGAAGCACCCGTGCACACGCAAGTGAAGGAATACACTTGGAGATTTTGTGTGTGAATAAATGATCCGCCATCAGGATCACTGGGGGCCACACATGCTTTCTAGAAAAACAATAAAAAAAAACAGTTTTTTATCTTTCTGTAGAGATTATGGTAACCCGTGTAAACCAGACATTTTTATTTTGAAATGTGTGACTTCTAAAAATATTCTGTCTTCCTGACATTAGTGTGGTCTGAGAAAATCAGACAGTTGTTATTACAAATAGAGCTGCTCCACTCAGACATTAAATAGACAATTAAACATGTCTGCACGCTTTCCTTTTTTGTGGTGGCTGCTTTTACATGTGGAAGAAAACCACATTACTCAGAGGACACTGTGGCTGGTGGTTAATGGCCTCTTCCTGACGTGTCTATGAAGTGGCCTGTCTAAAAATGCTTTCACTAGCTAACAATAACTTTCCACTTTGTAAGATTTATAATAGGAAGCTTCTCTCAGGTATGCATATTAAGCTCCAGGAGATAGAGGGTCCCTGACGTAGGGTCTGATCCATTTTTGGCACTGAGCAGGTGAGGAAGGACAGAAAGAGCACGAGCCCTGTCCCCGGCACACCCAGGAGTGGGCGGTGTACTGACAGCCAGCTTGTTCTGACTCCACAGATGGTCGGCCCTGTCCTGTGGTTCTCTGGGACTCCTCTCTCGCTCCAACCAGTAACGATACCCATTCTTCAGTTGCGCTCACCTGGGGAGCTTATCAGCACTCGCTGAGACAGCGCTGCTGGCTGCACGGCCGCGTGCCCAAGCCCGAGTGGGGCTGCACCGACGTCCACCACCACGAGTGGTCCAAGATGGCACTCTTCGACTTCCTGCTGCAGGTATGTTCGCCAGTCCCCGAGGGCTGCTGGGAGACGGGATTAGGCAAGTCGCCGTTAGCGCCGGACGAGTCCTTATGAAGCCAGAGCTCAGGTGCTACGATACTGGATCTGGTGCATGTTGTGTGCACATGGCCAAAGCTTAGATTTTGTTAGGAAACAATCTTAAATCTCACTCCGTCTTTTTAATTAGTCCCTGAAGGAGTGAATTTCTGGCCATCATGCAAGAGACTTGGCAATTTGTTGCCCTACAAGAGATCATCCTGCCTCACTTGGGAGGCAAATAAACTCAGGGTGAGGTGAGCTATCTTCTCAAAGGGCTCACAGGTTCTAGAAGCTGGAGCTGGAATTCCCTGTTGGTTGCAAAGTTTCTCTTCTTTCCAGCACCTCTCACTGGGTTTGGGGCTTTTCCAGCCACACAGCTTACAGCCACGTTTCCTGTTTTTATTCTAGTATGTAATTTTGTGTTGTTGTAGTTTTGTTTTCACAAGTTTTTCATTAAGGAGAATGATGGACGGCGGCCACTTGTGTGGGCAGGTGGCCGCATCAGTCTGTGAGGACACCTCCTAGAGACGCTGGTGTGTTCCATAACATCTGAGAAGCTCGCGCCATCAGTTAGTTCCTGAGTGTGACTAGCAGAGGTGGGCAGAGGGAGACAGATGCAGGGAGAACCCCGGGCTGTGACAGCTGGGTGCTGAGACTAGGTAAGGAGGAGGGTGACTGCTCATGTGAGTGCTGTAGGGGGACCCGAGTGGGCGGGGTGGGGACCTTGGGCTGGATTTGCCATCGCTGCCTGTGTGGACAGCATTCAGCAGAGGGTGGCGCTGCCCATATCTTGCGGGTGCACTAATGCATCCTGGGGCAGTCACCTTCTGCTCGCTTTTCGTGTAGAGAAACTGAGGCACAGAGTTTGCTGCCGTGAGTGTGAAGATTTTAAGACTTTTCACTATTGTTACATGCTAACAAGGCAACCTGCCATGCAGAGTGAAAGACGTCAGCAGAAGACACAAAACTCTTGGACCAGAAACATGTGATTTATTACTCGGGAAGGAACAGCTGGTCTGAACTCTCTTGACTTAACATGTTATCCCTTGGTTAATGAAGCAAGTTGGTATGATCAAAAAAATCATAATAAAATGAAGAATAAGTTAAGAGCCCTGGGCTTGCACAGTGCCTGCTTAGCAAGCACAAGTTTCTGAGTTCCATTTCAAGCACAAGAAAAAAAAAGTCCTGAGATTAAGCAGGTAAACAAGCTCACCAGAAAGTCAAAGTTTTGGAGAGTAGTTAGCAAAGATGTTGAAGTTCCTGAGGATGATCACTGGTTGGACAGAGAAGACATTTTTTAATTTGGCAGGGAAGTTTTCAAAAAAGGCATAAAACATCAAACCTTGATGTTTGAGTTGATTGACATTGAGAAGCAAGCTGTGATGGATCGAGAGCAAACCCTTTCCAAATGGCTGTGAGCTTTCATTCTGACCTTCTTAAGCAAATATCACCCTACCTCACTGTCTTCATCATTCTTTCTGTTGAAGGAGGCTCTCACTATTATTCAACCAAAGAGGTATATTTATGCAATGTCTACTGTATCCTACACAATAGGAAAAACCCACAAGAGTGCAAAAGTGGTAGAGGATGACCGTGCTCACTACTGTACTTCATGCTTCTTCCTTTTACCATTCAGCTGAGAAAATATAGCGTGTGAAACAGAGAGATCAATAGAAGAAGGGCTGGCGGGATAGGAGTTCTCATTGTTCTGAGGCCAAAAGAAGGAAAATAGAGAGAGTGGAGAAGGGGAGCTTGAGGAATCTGATAGCCTGTCAAAGGCAGGCTGAGCAAAGCATGAAAGAGCATAGCATTGGTAATGCTGGTCTCCTTACTTTAGACATCCTCACAATGTCATGCAGAGAGTTCACTTAAGGGGAGAGTGGCGCTGTCAGCCTCTGAGAATGGTGGTGGAACATGAAGTCAGAGACCACTTTCCCCACATTTGCACCTTTATTCCTAACTCTCCTCCACTGTCCTGACTGAGCCAGGACAAATCTCACATGAGCCACGGTCCCCCTATTGCATAAGTTTATAATTTCATGTGTAAGGCACAGAAGTGCCCATTTTCCTCTTCTCATTAATTGTGAAAAGAACAAAGAAAATTAGTGTTTGTACTGGTCTTATGGAAGATGAGGGGGTCTTGTTTATATTTTTCATTTTATTATAAGACAAAAAATCATATTTTCCAATATTTATTTTATTTTCAGTGAATTGCTTTTTCAAATCATCACCAGTTTTACTGCTTCTTAAAAAGTTTTTTTTCTAGTTGATTGACAAAGCCATTTAATATATGATGAAAATTAGGCTTTAGCAATTCATACGTGTATGTTTGTCACTGTTCCATAACTATAACAAATACCGGAGGAAACCAACTTATGAGGAAAAAAAGATTTAATGACCTTGGACTCACAGATTTAAGGGTTTCCACCCATGATTTTGGCCTCATTGCTCTGGGGCAGGAGAGAGGCAGAGCATAGTACGAATGGGGGGCAAGCAAAATGGCAAGCGAAGGAGAGAAAGAGCAAGTGGCGACAGCCCCACGGATCCCATTGGCTGGAGCACCCCCAGGCCCACTCTCAAAAATGTCACCTCCTTTCCATAGCAGCCCCAGGGAACAGAGCCTTCAATGCATGAGTCCTTGTAGGACATTGAAGACCCAGATGGTAGCCATTACTCTAATAATAATAATAATAATAATAATAATACCTTTTCTTAATCTGTTGGTTTTTTTTTTTTACTCTACTTATACTTGATCTTACTCCAGAGTAATTTTACATTCTCATATAAGGTCATATCTTAATTGATTCCTTAACTTCCTGTATTTAGCATCATAAAATATTTATAGGAAGGTATAAGGTGGGAAAATATTTACTATGCAAATACATGCACAGACACAGGCTATTTTGAAGCGTATCAGAGTAGTTATCACTTTCTTTAGAGCAATCTCATCAATTGCGTTGAAAAAGTTACTTTAAAGTCTCAAATATTCCTTATTTATGTGGCATTCTGAGGACTTATCCCATGGATTTGGGAAAGGACCTTAGTGAAGTAGTTCCTGGAAAACACCGAGATCGCTGCTCTATGACACTTGGGCAAAGGCGTGGGGCGCAGCCCCAGTGGTTAGCTCTCTGCACACAGCATCTTCCCTGTTTCACCCAGTCAACAAATCCACATGCATAGAGGCAGTGCCACTTACTAGCTCTGCAAGATGCAATGGTGGTACCGGCCAGCTCCTGTTTTTTGGGTATGGTCGAAGCTGCACTGATGGGAAGTCAGCTTCACTAGGACGACAAGGAGAAGCATGCTAGAGAGCATACGAGCTTCTAGGGTTTGCTCAAGTTTCCCCCCAAAGATTATGCAAAATAACAGGAGCAAACTCAGAATGCAGAAAACTTGCTTTCTGACCTGAGAGATAATACAATAGATAATACAATAGAAAGTGGGACTTCTCGGCCAGTCTGCAAAATGTGAGTCCCAACTCTACTGCTTGTAGCAATTTAACCTGGAGAAGCTTCTGGGTTTCTTCATTTGTGGAACAGTATAATTTCAGTGCATTTGTAGAAGGCTAGAATTAGAACATGCTTTTGTACACCTAAACATAGAGTGATGTCTGGTGTACAAGATTGTTAAGGTTACTTATTAATTACATTGACCATCTAGACATAGATGTACAAATAAGAATTGAGTAACCTATTTTACCATGCATACAATTAATCAAATTGCATGTCATCTCAAACTGATTTGATTGCTTTGAGAATATATATATATACACCAAATATATATATATATATATATATCTGTCTCAAACACAGAGCGGGTTTGCTGCTGGTGATTAAGTTTGACTGAACCGGTCTCTCTGCCCTCAGGGCTTGCATAGTCTGGTACAGGGTCTCACTATACATCTTGGACTCATGGTGATCATCCTGTTTTAGCCTTCTCAGTGCTGGGATTACAGGCATGCACTACCACTCCTGGGCTTGGGTCTTGGTGGCCAGCTTGGCTCCACCGTGCCAAGCTGTAGTGCCAAGAGCACAACATGTAGTACCAGCGACCAAACCGGGTCCTTGCCCTCGCTAGGTCTGCTCTTAGACTGCTGAGCTATCTCTGGGCCCCTGTTTTGAGTTCTCATTGACTTTCATACTCCTATAGGTTCCTAGGTTACTAACGTTTAATTATTTATGGTCCGTCTCCGCCAATGAACTGTGAATGTCTCAAAGCCAATCCATTGTGTTAATCAACTTTGTGATCTTTCTGTTAGTGGCAGAATGTCTGGAAATGTCAGAGGTAGTCAGGGCATTGGTTTTTAATATAAAAAATTATATTAAAATATGAAATTCAAAATGTCAAATTAGAACTACTAAAGGTGAAAGGACTAAAAGTACACTTATAATATAGAAATAACTATTTCTGTTAAAAAAGAAAATTACAAATTTAGAAATAAAACAACTGAATGAATGAAAAATAGCCTTTTTTTATTATGGAGTCCAATGTACATTTATATTAAATAGCTTTTGATTCAGCAGGTATTTAATTTTTCCAAGAAGGGGAATAGCAAAGTTGTGCTGGGGGAGACTCCTGTAGCTAACAACAACCCCAGATCTCACCAGCTTCTTTCCACTTGAAATTCACAGATTTTTCTTACCTTGTATCTGTCTCAAACACAGAGTGGGTTTGCTGCTGGTGATTAAGTTTGACTGAACCGGTCTCTTTGCCCTCAGGGCTCGCATAGCCTGGGACAGGAAGCAGGTGCTCCTAGCAGAACAGAGCCAGTGCCACGCCTGAGCTTGAAATCCCCTGAGAGAAGTGCGGCCTAGAGACATACATAGAACCCGAGGCCAGAGAGCGTGACCCATGACCTGGAAGTGGAAGGAGCTGTCGAAGTCAGGTGAATACAAGAGGCAGAAAGAGTGTGACACAGACAGATTCTGGCCAAGGGCTGAGAAATGCGAAAAAATTCA